CAGCCAGGCCAGCATGGGGGACGACGAGGACGACGAGGAGGAGGCCGGGCCGCCGCCGCCCTACCACGACGCCCTCTACTTTCCGGTTCTCATCGTGCACCGGCAGGAGGGGTGCCTGGGCCACAGCCACCGGCCGCTGCACCGCCACGGCTCCTGCGTGGAGACCTCACTGTGACCAATGGCTCTCGACAAGCCCGCTGCCCTCCCTGCTGCCCCTTGCCGGACTGTGTCCCTGCCTGTAGCAGGGGGTCCCGATGATGACTGAGGCTGTGCTGAGCACGGAGGGGGTGGACGGAGGCAAGGGTGAGCGGGAAGACCCCATGGGGCTGAGACCCCCGCCTTCCCTGTACATAACGAGAAAGATGGGTGGGAGGGGTCGGCAGTTCCCGGAGAATTCCACTGGGGCGGAGTCGGCTCCTTCCAGCCCCGCCCCCGAGTTCCTAAGGGGACCCCTTCCTCCCTACACGCACACTCCAGGTTCCCGCCCAGCCTTCTACAATCTTCTGACTGTTCGGTGGCGACTGTGTTGTGGGACCCGCACTGGGCCTCGTCTTAAGTGAGAGGCGTTTGCTGTGCGGCTGGGGAGGTTCAGAGGCGGCGGGGAGGGGAAATTGGGGCTCTCCCTCTTTCACTGCCTGGCTCCCCAGCCCCACTCTCTACCGAGGGGCCGTGGTCTGGTGAACAGCCCGGCTGGCTTCCAACCAGCTAATGAATTCAGTGGGTCTGAGGCCGGGCCCGGTGTCAGCCCCCATCTCAAAACCTTGGACATGTTGCTACCCTCCTCCTGGCGTGTGCCCCAGAGACCGGGGTTTCCTTTCTGCCACACCCACCTCTGTTGTTTATCTCACTGGGCCCCTGGAGTTTGGGTCCCAGGGAGACCACACCCCACACAGATGTCCCTCCCGTCCCTCCCCTCTTGCTCCTTGGCGCTGAGAGCTGCTGCCAGGGCGCCAGGGGCAGGACAGTGTCCCTCGGTCCTTTCCGAGGCCTCTGGGCAGCAGCCGCCTCCCCTGGCTTCTGGGAGGGCACTCCCTGCAGAGTGGGTGAGATCCCAGCCACGCAGCATTCCGTAAAGTTGGCCAAGGTGCATGACTGAGCAGGGAGATTGGGAGAGGGACCTGAGTGACCGGGCGCTCTGGAAGCAGATGGGAGTCAGAGGAGAGGGCAGTGGAGGGCAGAGTGAAAGGGGGTGGCCCACACATTGCCCCTGCAGGGCTGAGGACATTGTCACAAGTCCCCGTTGGAGAAACACTCAATTCCCGTGGCAGGTCAGACAGAGCCAGGAATTCTCTAAATCTTGCCTGACCCCTTCCCCCTCCCCTATCCCAGTGAGCTGAAGCAGCCCTGCTGTGTCCCAGGTTCTTCAAAGGGGCGTCCTGCCATCACCACCACAGGGCCCTGGCCCCACATCTGGTTCCCCCAGAGCTCTGATGTCGCCTTCACTCCCCACACTCTCACCCTTACGTGCTTCAGTGTGCATGTCAGTGTACAATCCTCCCACCCCCACCCTCCCTCCCAACTCTCCCAGCTAAAGTTTTCACAGCCGACTTAGAGCCTAGGGGTGGAGCTCATATTTCAAGCTGGAGAGGAAAACCCTTGGGCCGCCTGACATTGCTCAGCCCCGATGCTTCTCAATTCTCCGGAGCCATCCATCAGAGCTCCTTCCTCCCCTCCGGCAGCCTCTCCCATCTCCCTCCAGCCAGGCTGGGCCTGCAGCCTCCAAGGCATGGCCTGCACCTATGCAACATCTCTGGCTCCCCTGCCCTCCTTTTCTGGGGGGAGCTCGGGAGGCACAGATTGTGGGGCCACCACACTCTGTGGCCCACTGCGGTTGGGCTTTATTTTCCCGTGGAGATGGCTGAATGGGAAGGGAGAGGAGGCCGAAGGGGAGGCTTGGGCAGGAGGGAACAGCTGCCATTATAATTCCCTGGGCAGCAGTGCCTGCCTGCCAGCACTGAACCCGCCTGGACCCTGAGTCTGTGCTCCTCGGGGGCCTGGCGGTCGGAGCACCCCTTTCTCCTCTGAGCAGACATCTGTGAGGTACAGATGGTGAGCTGTGGCCTCAGGCCCCAGTCCTCGGCCAGCTGGCATGTCTTGCCCTCGTGTGGTGGCAGCCTGGCCCCCTCCTGGCTCCAAGGAGGGAGGAACTCAGCTCCTCCTCCCTCTGGCTCGTTTCTGAGACAGAGTCAAAGCTGGGAGGAGGGAAAGGGAGGCCCTATTACTACTTTTGCCTGGACTGACCATTTCTGCCCAGGTCTCACACAGACAGCCTCACCTCCCACACACGCACAGACTTAGACACCAAGTCTTTGGTCTATTTCCTTGGTAGCTTTATTGATTGCCAGGGAAAAGGAAAACCAGAAAATTAATTACTCTCTAAAATTAAACTTTACACTGAATGTTCTTGTTTCTCTAATTAGAACCTCTGCTAGCAGCTGTGGCTATGTACACACACACACACACACACACACACACACACTCACCCTCACACCTACGCATTTGCACTCTGGAACTGTTAGAGGGTGTCAGGCACAGACAGACTCTAGGTTGCCCGGACAGGCACACATGTGCAGTCACTCCCAAGCCCCCTTTGGTGCTCTGCTCAGCGCCTGCTTGTTGGAAGGAGTCCCCAGAGAGCAGGCACCCTGAGGCTGTGGTGGCAGCCCATGGCCCACCCTTTGAAAACAGATCTGGAGGTTCTGGAGTCCCTCAGCCTGAGGAGGATGGGAGATGGGGCTCAGCCTGGAGCCATGAGTCAGGTCCTCTCGTGGCCGCCTGGGTGGATGTGGTTTCTGTGGGTGTGGCTCCCGGGGGGGGCAGCCACAGAGGGATGGGGTCTCCTGGAGGGCACCTGGAAGGCTTCATGTGTCCTGGGCACAAGGGCTTGTGGGGTGGGCGTGGCCTGGCTGGGAAGACAGGTCTCTGTCAATTGGGTGCATCACACTGTGGCCTTTCTGTCATGGATTTCCAAGCGCAAAGATTGTACAAATCAAACCGGTGGAAAATAAAGTTTCGGATGACTCACTGACTTCCCCTCCCAGCGTGGCACTTCCCCCACCGTCTCCCTCTCCCAGGAGAAGCTCTCTGGGGAGGCCCAGTTGAGTCCCTCCTGTCGCCTCTGTTTCCCCTTCCCAGGTTGTGGGGAAAGTTAGGGGATGTCGTGGCCTGTGAAACTGGGTTACTTAAGCAGAGTCAGGCAGTAGGGAGGTGGGATCTGCAGGGGCGAGGGTGGAAGAGCCAGGCCAAAGTTCTGTTGTAGCAGGATTTGGGGGAGGGAGGGAGGGAGGGAGGGAGGGAGAGAGAGAGAGAGAGAGAGAGAGAACGTTAAAAGATCAAAGATCTGTTCAGTAAAGAGGAAGATGTGGGGATGAGGGTCAGGGTCATGGGTGGCCCCTTGGGGAGTCTGGGCAGGCACAGTCCCTCAGAGTTCTCTCTGCCTCCCCTTATACCTGGAAAAAGTCATTTATTTCAGGGGTTCTAGTAATACCTTCTCCCTGGGTTGTGGTCTGGGTCCTATTTAATACTCCTTCTCCCCCTACCCTAGGTCTGTCCCCCTCCTCACATCTTCATGCACTCAACCCTTTAAAAAATATATATATATTTCAGAGAGGACGGGAGAGGGAGAGAGAGATAGAAACATCAATGATGAGAGAGAATCATTGATCAGCTGCCTCCTGCACACCCCACACTGGGGATCGAACCCACAACCTGGGCATGGGGCCTGACCAAGAATTGATGCTCAACCACTGAGCCATGCCAGCTGGGCACTGTTCAGATTCTTGATGAAAATTTATTATTCAATATAGAATGGGGAACTTACATCCTGGCAATCATAATCCTAATAGGACACATTATGTATACATGCACTCAACCTTTGATCACACCCCAAGGATCTTCGTGGTCTCCCCCACTCCCTGTGTTCCAGTGTGACACTCTGCAGCAGGCACAAGGGGGCATGACCTGGGGGGTGGGGGTAGGGCAGTGACCCAGGTGTGATTACTGCCCCAGCCCTGTCCCCTCTCCTATCCCACAGGGTTCTCAGGGCCCTTGGCAGTGAGTGGTGCCGAGAAGTGGCTGGGATTCAAGGCCCGCTGGCGGGCTTCTTCGCGGTTGGCACAGAGGGCCTGGCCAATGAGGTATTCGCTCTCCTGGGCTACATCGGACAGGCGCAGGTCAAACTCCAGGAGCGTCTTGTTGTCTGACATGCCTTCCAGGAGCTGCTTCCCGCCATCCTGGGAGAGGAGCACAGGGAGAGGGTCGTGTCTTTACATCACTACCCAGGACCACACACACTCATATACATATTTATAGAGAGATGTGACTGGAACAGGAGTTCCACAGAACAGTGCTTAGCCTGTTTGTGCAGCACGCTGACATTTTCTCCATTCTGTCCTCTGTGAGCTGCAGCAGCCGTCCTGGGGCCACAGGAGGAGCCCAGAGAGGCCACGGCAGGTGGCTGGGACGGCAGAGCAGGGGCTGGCACTGAGCCAAGGAATTTCCAACCCCAGGATCCCCAACCCTGGGGCTTCCGATAATGGGACATAATGAATAGTCCTCTTGTTGAAGTCAATTGCTGCCTAAGGTCTCTGTTACTTGCAGCCAAGAGCACCCCCTCTGGAGACAGTGAGTGTGAGCAAGACTATTCTTTGGGGGGGGGGGGGGTTGGTAGAAGATGCAGGGCCCTAAGTGGAGTACACAGCGGGCCCTCTTCACTACCCCTCACAGCTTCAGCCTCTTCCGGGGTGGGTGGGCTAGGCCCAATGTGAAAGAATTTCATATTGGGAGGCAGAATGCTGCTCTTCTATGGTTGTGACCCAATAGCGTGTTTGTTGCAAAGTCGATGTAATACAGAAGCATTTATAAAAAAAAAAAAATGAGGTAGACGATAAAGGAAAACATCAGCAGATATACTAAGCAGTAACAGTACATTTCAATTATATTATGTTCCTGTATATGTTCACCAGCTGTTCATATAAACTGCATTTCTTACTCTGAGACTTGATTAAGGAAATTTGAGAGACATTTGTCTATTGGAAAGAACCCCAGCTTTTGATCAGTCCTGGGTTTAATCACAGCTTTGCCACCTCCTACTGATTGGACGCTCTCAGGCAACTCACTAACGTCTCTGAGACTCAATTTTCCATCTGTAAAGTGAGGTTAAGAATACGCGTTTTACCAGATAACAGTGAGGGTGAGAGGAAAACAATGGATAGTGGATACCAAGCATAGTCTATAACCCTGAGTAACAGATAGCCATTACTAAAGACCTAGCCAGTGCCTGCAATGGTTAATTGCTTTACAGTATAATTTAATCCTCTCAGTACACTTTGAGGTAGATACTGTTATTATCTCCATTTTACAGATGAGAAAATGAAGGCCCAAAGTGCTAAATGGCAGGGCTGGGATTTGAACTAGGTACGGCTGTGATTTTAACAATCACCTGGTAAGTACCCCATGACAGTTGGGTTCTACCCCCACCCCCAAGGCCCAGGGCCTCCCCTTGGCCCTCCCTTCCCCAGGAGCTGTGGCTCACCGGTCCTATGTGGTTGCAGGACAGGTTGATTTTGGTGAGTGTGGTGTTGACGGAGAGCACCTGGGAGAGGAGTGTGGCTGTAGGCTCCGACAGCTCGTTACCACCAAGGTGCAGCGTGGTGAGGCACTTATTGGTCTGCAAGGCGTGGGCAAGTGCCTGGCCGCCCTCATCCTCAATGCAGTTAAGGCGCAGGTTGAGGGAGAGGAGGTTGGTGTTGTGTGCCAGGGCGTGAGCCAGCGACTGGGCACCAGGCGCACGCACCTGGTTGTTGGCCAGGTTGAGCACACGCAGGCGGCTGTGGCTCAGCAGCTTGGCGGCCGCACGTGCGCCACGGTCCCCGATGCAGTTGTGTGACAGGTCCAGCTTCTCAAGAGCTGGGTGGTCCAGGAGGCTGCGAATTAGGATGCGTGCCTTGTTGTCATCCACCTTGCTTCGGGTCAGCCTAAAGACCTGTGGGCAGAAAAAAAAAAATCTGTGGGCAGGTAAAGTGTCCATAGCACCTGGTAGCCAGGGATCATCTGCCTGCCTGCCTGCCTGCCTTCTGCAGGTAGAAGAGGGAGCCACAGGGAGGCCTGAGGTTCTGCTCACCTTGTGTTGGCTACCTTGCTGGCCTGCCTAACATGGCAGAGTGTGCAGAATTGCTGGCAGCTGGTAGGGGGAAAGGCTACCATTTCTTGAGAAATGACTATGCACTGGGCATGCTGCTAGAACATGTCATAACCATTATCTCTCACCCTCAGCATCCCAGAGAGGTAGAATGAGTCCTCTCCACTTTATAGACAGGAAATAGAGGCAGAGGGTGGACATATCATTTGCCCAGTCACACAGTGATTGAGCTGTGGAGGCAGGTTTTGAATCCAGGCCTGTTTGCCCCAGCAGCCCCTTGCTGGACCCTCCTCAGCTGGCCAAGATCCACCGTGGCAAGGAGAGGAACTCAGGGTAAGAACCAGGAGAAAGTGGGAAGGGTGAGAACCAGGAAATGGGTGGGATGAAGTAAAAAGATAAAAGAAAGGGCAAAGGATTAGCATTATGAACATGGGAGATGGGAGCCCCCATCCCTTTCCTTCTCACTGACTTGTTCCGCTCCTCCCTCTTACTTGGGACCTCGGAGTGGCTGGCCTGTTCACTCCCTCCCTAGCCATTAGTCCTCTCCTTTCTCACACCCCTCTTAGCCAGCGGAGCATCTTTTGTTTCTCACCTTTTCATGGCATCTACCTTGCAAAGCTCCAAGCTGGGTCCAGCCCACTCTCTTATTTTCTGCGTGTCTGTGCCCAGGCAACTGACATGATGGAAAATGTCTCATGACAGCCCTAACCGGTTTGGCTCAGTGGATAGAGCGTTGGCTTGCGGACCGAAGGGTCCCAGGTTCAATTCTAAGGAAGGAAGGAAGGAAGGAAGGAAGGAAGGAAGGAAGGAAGGAAGGAAGGAAGGAAGGAAGGAAGGAAGGAAGGAAGGAAGGAAGGAAGGAAGGAAGGAAGGAAGGAAGGAAGGAAGGAAGGAAGGAAGGAAGGAAGGAAGGAAGGAAGGAAGGAAGGAAGGAAGGAAGGAAGGAAGGAAGGAAGAAAAAAAGAAAGAAAGAAAAGAAAATGTCCTGTGATAGAACTGATTGGTTTCGCTGGAACCACCAATAGCCCTCAATGCTGTGTGCTCACTCAACTCTGTTTCTCTGGCCAACATGTTCTCTCATAATCTACAACACTTTCAACCTTCTCAAGCCTCCTCAAACTTCAGGGGTCACCATAAAGCCTCCTCTCAGCAGGTAAATGTCCTCCTGCCTCCCCAGCCATTGAATGGGAACCCCTCATCTTCCTATACCGAACACAACATCCCACCACACCAGCTCTTCCCTCTGCCCAGGGCCGACCGCCCCACCTCAGTCCTGGATCCCACCTTCCTGCCTTCTCAGGAACCTTCCACGGTCAATGAACCTGTACCCTCTGTCCTGGACTCAACCCATTTCTTGCAATTAGATGGAAATTTTCATTGGTTTTAAACACATGCAAGTTTCTTCTTAAGAAAACCCACCCCACCCCCCATCAGCTATTTCTACTCTACCTTCTTCCCCTTTCACAGCCAAGTTCTTGAAAAAGTTGATCACTGACATCCAGTTTCCTCACTTCCCACTCTCTCCGTAAACCACTCCAGCACGCCGATCTGGCCTCTGCTCCTGGCACTCCACTGACAGAGCTACCCCCTCCCCCCAAGTAACCTCCACATTTGCTAAGTCCTGGCCTCAGCTCCACTCCACCCCATTGCTGGTCACCCGCTCTTCTTACTTTTTTAAAAAATATATTTTTATTGATTTCAAAGAGGAAGTGAGAGGGAGAGAGAGAGAGAAACATCAATGATGAGAGAGAATCAATCATTGATTGGCTGCCTCCTGCACGCCCCCCACTGGGGATTGAGCCCACAACAGGAGCATGTGCCCTTGACAGGAATTGAACCTGATCCTCATTTACTTCCTTCACTAGAGAAAGATTTCTGGAAGATATGAT